ATTTTCACTGCTCCTTCGAGTGCTTTGGACAATGACACTTCATACGATCCTCCTGAGCTTGATGACGATGCTCCTTCTCGTTGCGAGAGGGCCAATTGGCTGATGGCATTCGTGGTCACGCGACTGTTCTGTACTAACTGGGTTAGGATATCAGCAGTAGGGGTCATACCTAATCCATCATCGGATGGTTGCATCTGAGGACCAATGGGTGATCCATCCGATCCACCTGCTCCGGGTGAGCCTACCGCTTCCATAGCTTCGGTCCTGACAATCATCACCATGAATACAAGCAACTTGACACTCCTCTTGCAATCGCTTACCTTCCGTCTCCATCGGATACTGTGCATACGATTGACTTTCCTTCTCATACAAGCACAACTCAGAGAACCTTTTTGCGTCTTTCGGATGCAGTTCTGTCCGAATTTTGCGCAGTTGATGAACAACTGAAGAAATAAGCATACAAGTAGCTCAAGCGCCACAATAGGCATTCTGCCTACGCTCTGATCCCATGCTGTTGCGAGTAGCTTCTGTACAAATCTACTCCATATCCGAGCCATCCGGCTTTTCCTGCACTGGGTCGTCGCCTTCTTCTGACGATTCACTTGACTCATCGCTACTGGGATCTGATCCGGCTTCATCTGGTCCAGGTCCTGCTTTTGCCTTTGATTGCTCTTCTTGGCGTTTCTTCCTGTGGTACTCTTCGAGCTGTTCCTTCTTGTGCTCCTCCAGCTTCTGACGAAGAACTTCTCTGGTAGCTTCATTACTTTCGGATCTTCCTGCCGGGCTACCTTGGCTTTTGCCTCGAGCTTGCTTACTGGTGGATTCCTCTCGAGCTTGTTTACCAGTGGATTCCTCATCCACGTCGATTGTTTCTTTCGCTCCACCTTCAAGCAACTTCGTTCGCCTTTTCTTGGCTGAATCCTGCATTTCCAAGAGTACTTCGGTGTGCTTCGCAGTACTCGATCCTGGGTCCGAAGGTTTCGCTGCGCTCTTCGGTGCAGCATACGCCATTGCCTCTGAGAGAGACAGGAAAATACCTCCTTCACGTTCCTCTGCTGGGGGTTCGATTTCCGGATATTCTTCAGGATTCTTCTTCTTGTTGTCCAAGTACTTCTTCTTGTTGACTTCGGAAATCTTGCTGCTGACAGCACCATAGTCCGCGAATACAATCGCTGGGTAGTATCGCCGGAATTCATCCTTCTCGTCCTTGTACCGTTCGCAGATGATGTTCCGTAGCGGGTAGTATTTCCGGAGTCTTTCCTTTGGCACCAATACTGTGAGCGCTGGCTCCCACAATTCAGATACCAGATCCCTGAGTGGGCAGCTACTCTTCCAGTGGCCTTCTGACCAGCATACTGAGCACATTCCTTTGCTTGGAGGCAAACTTCCTTTGGTCGTATACGGATTTCCATACCTGTCAGTCTTCTCCATCTTCCCGTTTCCAGACCAGCCTGATACCGAACTTCTTTTCAAAACTTTCATTATGGTACAGAACTCTCGGGTCGATCGCAGTTGCCATCCAAACTTCTTCGTGACGAATACTCTCCATCTGCATTCGTTGAGAATCCACGGTACGCCAAATCCAGCAGCCTTTCGCACCTTCTCCTGCCATTCAGGCGAGAACGAGGTACAGTCCAAGAACTTTTCATCTGACGCGATCTTCTTCTCAACTCTCCAGGTGTCCAGAGAGATGTGCTCTTTCCATTCCTTTCCTGGTTCTTCTTCAGCTGGCTGTTCACGAAGTCGAGCAGGTCCGTACTTCTTCTTCTCAGACTACTTTGCTCTTCCTCCTTCTGAGCTTGTTCCTTTCTGAGCTTTTCCTGGAGTCCGGCTGGGATACGAGGTCTTGCTTTGACTTGAGGGGCTTCAGGTCGTGTGCACTTCTCCTTCGCCTGGGCGTACATTCTGGTTCGCTCCTTTTCACGGCCAAATTCGATGGCTGCTTCCAAGGCTTTGCCCACACTCTTCTGAAGTAGCTGTGCGCTCTCCTGAACCTTCTGAAGTGAAGAGACGAAATCTTCCTGTGCTTCTCGGAATCCTTGCATGCAGTGGCATATGCAGCTTCTGCTTCCTGAGCTTCTTCTGCTGCTTTGCAGTCCATGGATATTCTCTTCAACCAGTTCTGCAGACTTCTGTTCGAACCATGTTCCTCCTTTCTCGGACTTCTCAGCTTCCACAGGTACTTGTACTTTGGGGTTCTTCGCACGCTGTTCTCGAGCTCTCCGCTCGGCTTCTTCGACAGCTCTGAGTCTTCTGGATTCGTCTTCGAGTTTCTTCTGCTTCTTGGCATTCTGCCGGGGGGCCGTATACTGACCGGGGGATAAATCTGAAGTTCGAGATAATTTGATCGATCAGAGAGTAGAAATTCGGTCCATTGCAGGGCTACTTTGGGAGATTCCCATACAGGATTCCTTTCTCTGTTGGTGGAAGGTGTCACGCTGCCTTCGGCTAGGGGTGAAACAAAGCTAGGTTAACTGTA